ATATAAGTAGTTTACAAGGTCCAGTTTGTCCCGGTGCAAGGGCAGAACTGGGGTCTTCAGGTCCGCCCGAACGATCGTTTACTATCCTAGTAGACGTATTGTTGTGGGAACATCCTAACTACATTTGTAACTAGAGCTCACGTGGGATTTCCAACACCACAACTGGTGCCGCGACCCGGGAACAATTGTGACCATTGTGAACTGTTTGTATGGCCTTCCAGTTTACGAGCTACCAAGCGAGAGACAGAAAAGAAAACAAGGAAACATGGCCGAATGACATCTGACGGTACTAGTTACGCCTGCCAAGTCTGGCGGGGCTCGCAATGAGAGTTCAAGCCCGGCTGCGCGTTTTGCAGCCGCCACTGAGCTTTCAGTGAGCTTCGACGACGAAGCGGACATCGGTCCTGACGCCCACGATTATGAAGATTACGAAGACAAGACGCCGGCTCCAGAGCCAGGCGCAGCGACGCCGGAAACGGCCACGCTATTATCGGGGCTGAGCGGGGCGACCAGGTCTCTTTCGAGGAACCTCGCCGACGAGCTCGATGATGTTGCAGGACCGGAACCAGCCTACGATGATTATGTCGATGGGACCGAGGGTTATAAACCTTCGGTGGCGAGTGCAAAGAATTCAGCACTGCTGAAAGCACCTCGTCCACCTATCAACGGTGATACAACAGCCGCCAAGCGCGTTTTCGACCGCGTACAAGCGCTGATGCAGAATGATGAGTGGATGCAGCTGTTCAAGCCCATCCCCAAGAAAAAAGACGACTGGCCTGCGCTTGCGCAGGAACTTCAATACCCAGTCAACTCGGTTTCGACTAGCCAAGTTGCCGAGGACTCAGTTTCGCTACTATTGTCACTGGGCTTCGAGAGCGAGACGTACCCATCGACGATGTCGCTCCAAGATTGGAGTCCACATGAAGCCGGAGCTGCTCTCCAGAAATGGAAGAAGAAGCTTCGGAAGGCGTTTGGCGCTGTTGGCATTAACGCCGGAAAACAGCCTGTGAGTCGACCGATGATTCAAGAAGAAGATACGTCCACGATTCCACTGCCGCCGACACCCCAACGACTCGCTCGTACTCCTCCGACCAAGCGTGGAGCTGAGCGTGGTGCCTTCGGCACTACCGAAGCTTCACCGTACTTTCAAGACTCGCACATGGTTACGCCACGTTCGGAGAGCCGTATGCAACGTATTTACGCAAGTAACGAGGGCTCGTTCGGTCGCCGAGGCGGTGCGCGAGGTCCCAAAGGTGGTGCCGGACGTAGTCAAGTCGACAGCGATGGTTTGTCTAGTGACGATGACACTTTTGGTGCGTACATTCGACGAGGAAGATCCTCAAGTCGAGTTGATGCGTCAGATGAATGAGCTGGCGACGCTGAACGACGTGGACCCGACACCGAGGATTGAAATGGCCTCGCACCGACCGCTGGATCGCATCACGCCGTTCTCAGGTTCTCGCAACAAGAGCGAGAGCTGTATGCAGTGGCTCCGTGGGTTCGTCTATGAAATGACTGGAGCCCACACTGATGCCGATAAATGTCTGCTTCGTGCTTGAAGATAACCTCTCCATCGCTTGGTGTAGTTGTGCCATCCCGACTCGAGTTTGGACCCAGTACTCTTTTAATCACCACGGGGGAGTCCAGCCACGTACCTCGATGAACAGACCCGAACGCGCCGCGGCCAAGAGTTGCTTTGTTTACGTTCAAATCGACTTCGTATGGCGGTAGAAACCACTTGGGTAAGGTCGATTTAGAGTCTAGAACCGTGTCAGCAATCTCTAACGCTGTGTGTCGCATCGTATCCAGTTCCTCAGCTGTATACTCGGTAGGATAACGTAGTCGCTCGAGCTCAAGAACGGCCCAAAAGCCCTGCACATGTCTCGTCCAACCTGACTTCGATGTACTGGAATCTTCTTCGACTTCTTTTAGTATTGTGGGAACATCGGACATTTGTTGACACAAAACTTGAGCCTGGTGTCGTCGTAGTGTATACCACTGCTTTTCCCACTGGCAATGAATGTATTTCCTAGCGGCCGCTTCTACGAGTTTATGAAGCCTTGTTGTTGACACAAGTTGGTCTAGTTCGCGGTGCAATTCATACACCGATTGAGCATTTTTCCTACCTATTGCGAGGCGTACAGCGCGATTCATAGCGACATATCCAGACAATTCATTGACGAGAAGTTGAAAGCGAGACACGATATTCAACCAGCTGTGAGGGGCGTAGCCATGACGGCGACTGCGTCCGGATTCGTCCGCACAGTTTGGTGCTTCAAGCACAAGTTGGTCAGCAATGTCGCTCAATCTTGGCAACAATTGCTCGTACATTTCAAGCTCATATGAGTATTCTTTGTTCGTACAGTCACTTAAGAGTGACTGTCGAAGAGTGCTGAGATGATCTTGGAATAAAACAGACAAGCTTCTGTTCGATGGCGGAGGCTTAAAACTAGTTGAAGGCTCGTCAACTAGTCGTTTAATATCGTGAGCCACAGCGCCAATAGGCAGGCGATTCTCTGGATCAGGGTTCCGTATATGACGCACTAGTCGCCACTGTTCACTGGTGAACCCTTGTGGTTGTTGAGGAATGATTTTCCCCCACTTCTCCGGTGTGATATGACCGTCTATGAGCTGAATAATACACGTTCCGAATGCGAACACGTCGTCTGCGAGGCGTTTATCGCCAGTCCCTCTCTGTTGTAATGTTCCACTGCCACCAAATCCAGCGAGTTTTACAATACCGTCATTGCTTACTAACAAGTTCTTAGGCCATGTACCAAACCCCGTTCATGAAGATATTGCAATCCTTGAGCAGCTTCGAGGAGTTTTTGCCAAACAAGCTTTGACGATTTACCCCCTGAGCTGACGCGCTGTTGGTTAAGAAAGTCACTTAGCGTACCGTGTGCTGCGTACTCATACACATAATAGCCGTCGCACACTCCATAGAGCTTGAGAATGTTCGGGTGGTTCAAATCGATCCGCCTCTGCGCCATGGCCTTTACTTCTTTATCTTGAGGTGATACAGTCTTCTTAAGCACTACAGGGGTATCCAGCCATGTTCCAAACTTGATTAGGCGACGCGATTGTTGTGTAAAAGGACTTCGTGAGTTGGTATTCTCCAAGTAGAGGTATTATCATCTAGAATATGATTATCTGGAATCAATATATTCTTCGGCGGATGTGAGCGACGCCAATCCGGTAGGGACGATTTCTTGACTAGAGCTAAGTGATCTCCACGTACTAATCCAGTTGGGAGGGTCTCGACACCTTCGTCGTCTTTTAAGAGCTCCGTTTTGGTCATCACGTGAGCTACACTCTTGAGTATTTGCTGCTCTCCTGTTGTAAGACGAGCTGGTTGTTTCATCCAGAATGACACAAGCTGCCACAGCTCCTGCAACTCTGATACCAAGCCCAGATCTGCTGCTTCCATTACTTGGTTGTCAAAAACTCGCTCTTCCTCTATTGCTACTGCAGCCTTAAAGTACTGCAACTGTCGCTTGCAGTCACGTGACCACAGATTCATTCCATTCTTCGCATCTTCGAGTGCTTCCACAGAGCCAATCGCTTCCTCACAACTCGACACTAATGCGTCGACTCGATCGTGCAGTCCTAGCACGAATTTGGCCCGTTGTGGTACTTCCACGAACTCTCGGAGCGCATGGAGGGTCGTAAACTGCGCAAATTCATCGTTGAAATCTCTCCAGCATCGTCGCGTCGATTGCAACAGTCGGAGAACATCGAAGATCGCTAGTTCGAGGTCCAACGCTGTCAAGTCCGACGCTTTCGAGACATCGGACGCCGTCAGCGCTTCATTCGTCGTCTCCAGCCGCTTGATCAGCCCTGTATAGAGACAGAAGACGCTGTCGGAGCTGCAGATCGCCCCGAAATCCTCCAGAAGCTGTACTTTGTCGGGTTTTGGGATTCTTGCAGTAAAAGACAGAGCAAATTGGTCCGGCTGGATTTTAAAAGTCGACGGATGACCAGCGACTAGCCAGAAGTTGCTGCGAATGAAAGGAGCGTACGTGTGTATTCTGACCCGGACGAAGTTTACCAGGCGATTGATCAAGGTGCTCAAGTCATGTTGCTTGGTGCACCAAGCTGTATTAATACGTAGAGCTGCAGTGTCAGCGCCAATTCTAGAGCGGATAGGTCATGCCATCAATCTTCTGTAACGCGGCGTCCTATCATTGCATTTGCGGTGGCGGGTAATCATCTTCAGGCATCATTTGGGGCTGATTGGATGCCGTCGGCGTGAGGAGACGCGAAAGGCAAGAGGCTGCAAACATGGAGGTATTTTCGAGATGCATACGAACGGTGGTTTGGCGGCCTATTAATAGCAGCGCACCACCATCAGTGCTCCATGCCCTCAGTCTTCGCCACGTGTCTACCGCCGCTGGTGTATGAGTCTTTTGGCTTGGCTGGAAATCATGCTGCACCGAATCTCATACAATTGACGCGAGATGCCTTAGCAACACATCGGATATGGCATTCAGTTTTCTGCAGTTTTAAATAATTCGATGAATCCGCTGCCTTAAATTTCCATGAAAGCTTAAATTTAGCCTCCTAAATCAGTTACTCTTTCCAAGATGCATTTAAGTACCTACCACATGTGCAGGGGATTTGGCGGTTCTCTTGGTCGCTGCTTGGGGTTGCCCCGGCGCCGCCACAAGATGGCTCAGCGCATATTCCTGTGGCGCTTGTCACTTTGCCTTATACAAATGGGCACTATTCTAAAAATATCAGCATTTGGTAAATCGAAAAAAACTAACATCTATGAATTCATATTGAGTCGCTGACAAATTTCGAAATTCAAAAAGATCTGTTGCTTACCCATTTTAGAACTGTTTCCTATTCGGCGTCGGCCCTGTCTATCGCTAAAAACAACGCATCCTCTTTACTCGCTTCAACGGACAAATGACGTCTGACAACTGGAGACGAGTGAATTGGCACCTTGCCGTCAGCCGTGCTGCATTCCGGGGTTGCCATTTCTTCATCTGCCAGCTCCTGCTCACCCGCCCGCTACTCTGCTCAAGATGATCTCGGCCACTCGTCTGCAACGCGCTGTTCGCCCCGCCGCCCGTGCCTTCTCGCAGTCTGCCAACCCCAGCCGCATCCTCGTGACCGGCGGCACGGGCCAGATCGGCATGGAGCTCGTGCCCTACATGCGCCAACTATTTGGCGCCGACACTATCGTGAACTCAGATATTAAAGCGCCTGGTGGCGGCCACCGTGATGGCAACTTTGTCTACTGTGACGTGCAGGACCGCGACTCGATGGCGCGAATTGTGACGGAGCAGGGCGTGGACACCATCGTACACATGGCGTCGCTGTTGTCTGCTGTGGGTGAAGCCAACCCGTCTCTTGCTCTGTCGGTGAATACTCGTGGTATTCAGAACGTACTGGAGCTGGCAAAGCAGTACCAACTGCGCGTGTTCGCTCCGTCTACCATCGCAGTATTTGGTCCTTCCACACCGCAGGATGAGACCCCAGACACGACAATCATGCGCCCTACGACAATGTACGGACTTACTAAAGTGCATGTGGAGCTATTGGGCGAGTACTACTACAACAAGTTCGGTGTGGACTTCCGTTCGGTGCGATACCCGGGAGTTATTTCGTCTGAGGCGCTTCCTGGCGGCGGTACCACGGACTACGCCGTCGAGATCTTCTACGAAGCGCTTAAGCACGGCAAGTACACGTGCTTCCTCAACCGGGACGCTAAGTTGCCCATGATGTACATGCCCGACTGCCTCAAGGCCACAATGGGGCTTATTAACGCACCAAACGACTGCCTGTCACAGCGAACATACAACATCACGGCCGTGTCTTTCACACCTGAAGAGATAGTGGCGTCCATTCAGAAGGTCATGCCGAGCTTCCAGTGCGACTACAAGCCCGACTTCCGCCAGCAGATCGCCGAGACATGGCCCCGCTCAATCGACGACAGCATCGCCCGAAAAGACTGGAACTGGCAGCACGACTTCGATCTGGACAGCATGGTCGAAGATATGCTCGTCAAACTCGACGCCAAGCTCTCCAAACCGGAAGCCGCGGTCGAAGAAACCGCGTAAGCCAATCAAATTAGCAAAGTAGGTCACCAGGAATGAAAACCTTCAATATATGACAGTGAAATGCGTTGTATTAATACGTCTGCAGCAAGTAACAGTTCATCTACTACTGTAGTATTATATTCTTACTACTACTTTTTACATTAGTAGCATTTGCTCCTTCTTTAGTACTTTTTAGTAGTACTAGCAGTAGTAGTACTCCACTTCCTGCGGGAGTGAAGATCCATTGCAAAATGTTTGTACCACGTAGTATTTCTGAAATGCAGAGTTATTCACTCTACGTCCTCCGTGTATTCACTGGACGACAAACTCTTTTGTGCTTCTCCTGTTACCGCTGTCTTACATGGTAGCGTTGAAGACCGGGTTGTGACGCGCAATACGCGGGCCTTCTTCTTCATACTGGGCCTTGGTGTGGCACACACGGTAAAAGTCGGGAGTCGACGCCACCATACTACCACCGAACCAGACAGCAAAACGCTGCATACGGTGGGACAGCACATTCACTTCGAGAGCCTCGGCATGTGCCTGCTGGTACTTCGAGTGCAAGGCGAGGTTGGCTGCCTGTCGATCGTCGGCAAGACGCTTGATGTCGCGCTGCAGACGGCGACCAAAGTCCTTGAACATCGTGCTACCTCCTGATAACACAATGTTCTTGTACAGTCCACGTCGCGTGTCAATAGGACACTTCAAGATGGCTTCGTCCACCACATTGGGCAGAGGCGTCGTATAGTCCGTGGAGAAAATTTCAGGATTGAAGAAAATCTCCGGCGCTAGGAAGCGTTCGTATCCGACGTCGATCTCCCACGGCTGCTTAGTGCGCGGGTGCAAGTCCGAGTACTTCAAAAAGTACTTATCCGGCTTGGTATCATACTTTTTGAACTCCTTGACCAGGTCCGAGCACACGTAGCTGTGCGCCTCCTTGACACGCTTAGCGACCTCCAGTGACTCCTCAGGAGGCACAGCTTCGCCTCGATCACGTAACATCTTCTGGATAAAGTGGGTGACGTCGCGTCCAGCCAGCGGAATGTGGCGAATGCAGCTGCCAATGACGTAGCCGTCGGCAACGGGGATGACGTGCGTCACACCATCGCCCGAGTCGATGACTGTGCCCGTGAGTGAACGTTGTGACGGGTCCTTAATCTTAGGCCAGGACGCGTACAGTGCCAGCACAGCCTGCACTGCGATGTACAGTCCAGGGACATTGAACGTCTCAAACATGATCTCGGCTGTGGCCTCACGGTTCTCAGGAGGATTAAGCGGCGGCTCTGTGAGCAACATGTAGTGCTCTTCGGGTTCGCAGCGCATATGCTGGAAGATACAACGCTGCCAGAGCTTCTCCATGTTGTCCCAGTTCTGCACAATGCCCTGCGCGATGGGGTAGTTGACCTGGTGAGTGGATGCGTGGTCTAGCGCCTCAGTGCCGATGTAAAAGTCCAAATCGTCGATGCCCTGACGGCTGCGCACGGTACTGGAGTCACTGCCGCCTACTGCTATCGTGGACGGGATAATGTAGCTGGGCTCGGCATTGCCGGCATATCCCATCTTGGTGTATCTGTAAGGGGAACAATGGGGAGTCAGCAGCACGTAAGAAAGAGGGGGAACGCAGAGAGGACGCACCCTGTGCCATTGTCGATCACCACCGCGGGCTTGAACGACGCCATCACTGCCAGGGAACGAGAGCACGGAGCTTACGGAGCTTCTCGCTTTGCTGATTATGGAGCTGCCTCCCCTCGAGCTTCACGTTGTCGCAGCTCCGACACATCAATTGAACATTATATTGATGTGGTCAACATAAGTCAAAAGTCAAACAAAACTGTCGATTTGATAATCTGATACCGGCCCAGTTGAAGTGACTCATAACCATATTCCTGACCCAAAAACGCGAGAATGAGCTTTTGCACCCAATTTAATTAAGAATGGGGCGGTATATCGGAGTCCTTAGAGTAAAAAGTAAAGTGGAAAGTTCTGCGATCATAAGCTGATCTTCGTGCATGGCAAGATTGCTTGCCTCAACTTGCAACCGACTTAGGAAGCCAGGCGGTCAAGTTCCTCTGTGACGTAGATGAGCGAGACGCGTTTCCTCGGGTCACAAAGACACATCTGCTGTACAAGATCCCATTCTTGATCGCTCATTTCACGTGGCTGATGTAGCTGATTGCTACTCTTGATGTCGAGAATGTCGTTCAGAGGTAGACCTTGGAATGGATCCTTCTTTGTGATCGCCTCAATGATCGTAAGTCCGAACGAATAGACGTCGGACCTGAACGTGGGACTGTGATTGATTCCGTCTTCACTCCCATCCGCACTTATTCCAGTGCATTCAGGTGCACAAAATTCCACTCGTGTGCTCGGCTTAAGACTGTTGCTCGCACTGTACTGTCGAATATACGATGCACCGAAGCCAAAGAGCTTCACGGTGTTTTGATCCGTCACTAAGAGCTTCGAACTGCTTAGGTTACCGTGCACAATGCGTCTTGCGTGCAAGTACGAAAGTCCCACCGCAGCTTGGCACAACAGCTTCCAGATGTCCTTTTGAGACAGATAGTTCCAGCATCGGTCAAGGCTCTGGCGACCTGCATATTCGTATACCATGAATGGAGCACCTTCGTCCGACCCAACACCGTAGAGCTGTGCTACGTGTGGGTGCAAGAGCGAGCGCCAGATCTTGTAGTGTTTGTCGAAAATAGGGTTATCTCCAACAAGGCGAAACTTCTTGATCGCCACTCGAACACCTTGCCATTTACCCACAAAGATTCGGGACTGTCCTTTCAAATCGATGGCAGGTTGATACAGCTCGTATTCGCTAACAGAGATCAGCCAGCTGGGCGGTGTTTCTTTGGCTTCGTCAGTGCCCCCTTCAGTGGCAGTGGCAATATTGCGCAGAATGTTGTCGAGTGGACGAGATTTACCTGCTTGCGCTTGGTCAAGATCACGTTTAAGAAGAAGGCGTAGATCGTCGAAGGTGGGTAGTTGTCGGATGGCAGTAAGGATTTCACTTTGTAGGCCATCCAGCTGCTTCACCATCGCGGCGGTGTCTCGCGCGTACTGGTCCCGCCATTCGACCAAAACCACGGTTTGCTTTACAGTTATCAATTTGATCATGCTGTCCAAGCGCTCGTTGTAAAGCTTGATGTCCTCCGTAAACTTGGTCGCGTGCATCACCCTCTTTACATAGTTCTTTTCATTGGCGTACTTCAAGACAGTCCGGCAATAGTCTTTGACTAATACCTCGAGACGCGATAAAAGCTCTTCCTTTTCACGTGTTTGACCGTCCACTTGGGATAGTTCTCGGATGAAAGTTTGAAGACGTTCGTGAAGATTGATACAGAGTTCTTTTCCTTCCTTCAGTTGATTGTACTTCAAGTATAGCTTTTCGAGTAGGCTGACAGCGAGAGAGATCCCAGATCCGAGGCCAGGAACTGCCAGATCGAGCATACTGGCAGCCATCGATAATTGGGGCAAAGAAGAATGACAGATGACCTAATGAGGAATAATTGATTGCCCACAGAAATTACTGGTAAATCTCCAAGTGTCGGATTACGAGAAAGGGCACCATCCTAACGGGATCTATCGGACACCATTTCCGAATCAAACAAAATGGCCTCCAAACACGACATCGTGTCTATCATGAACCGTCACACTGGTATGGTGTTGGAGCAGAATCTCCTGAACAACTCCATTCAGGCGTTCGATTCCGACCTGGATGAATCAGCACACCAGTGGTTTCGCGTCCCAATCGGCGGTGGCTACTTCGTCTACAAGAACGTGGCTACAGGCAATGTTCTCGAACATTGGGACCTCAAGGAAGGTTCTGGCAACACAGTAGCCATGAGTGACGACGTGAACGGCCCCAAGCGCCAATGGTTTGAAGCCAAGCTCGGCGACATCTTCATCGGGCTTCGAAATCGCGCTAGTCGGCTATATATCGATCATTATGGCTCGAGAGAGATTCGGACAAGTGGCGAGGGTTGCAATTACGTCGAGCGTCATTGGTGTTTGATCTGGCATCGACAACCTTGCACAACAACAGAGATCGTTACCATGAAGAATTTTGAGTCCGACTGTCTTCTGGAGCAAAGCGACAAAATCCGGGCACTTGAAAGTCGCGTCATAACCGCTAGCCATCAGTGGCACCGTATTCCTGTAGGAACGGATGAGTATTTCGTCTACAAAAACGTCGAAACACAAATGGTTCTTTCGCTCAGCCAGCAGGGCGTTGCAGCAAATGATAACGACGAGGATGATACCACGCACCAGTGGCGAGAGTGCGATGTTGGCGGAGGTCTCGTGGCGCTCCAAAACCGCGCGTATGTCTGCATGTTACGACAGGCAAAGCAAGACTTGATCCTTGCCATGAACATGAACATCAGGGATATTCATGATTTGTGGCAAATTGAGCGGGCACAACCGATTCAGGGAACTTTTCACCAAGACCAGAAGTCCCAAGACTCATTGTTAATTCAGTTGGATAGCATTGCCCCAATTGAAAAGGTCTTTTCCCAAAATGACACCGGGACTGACGACTCGCCCTGGATTATTCACCCGAAACAAGTAACCTGTCAGTCCAAGCCAATAGCAGAGGGTAGCTTTGGCTCGGTCTATCGCGCCAAATGGGCTCAGATCGACGTGGTTGTAAAGACGATTACAATCACTTCTCCAAAAGACAAGATACGATTTCAGAGGGAAGCGAAGTTATGGTCACAACTGCGTCACAACAATATCGTGCGCTTTTACGGCGCCAACTTCAGCTCTGAACCGTGTTTCATCGTGTCGGAGTTTGCTGAACATGGAACGTTAAGCGACTACATCACGAAGGTGAATGTGAGTCTGAGTGTCGTATGGGAGCTGATGTTTCAAGTTGCTGCGGGACTCAGCTATCTACACAGTCAGAACATTATTCACGGTGACCTCAAGGGAGACAACATTGTCATCAGCAAGCATGGGACTGCGATGCTGACTGACTTTGGCTTCAGTTTTCTTGATAGCGGATCCTGCTCCGTGTTGGCCATGAGAGACCAACTTGGTGCTCTGCAGTGGCGAGCTCCCGAGTTCGTTGGCAACTTAGCTGAAAAACCAACGTTCGCCTCCGATATTTTCTCATTGGGCATGTGCATTATTGCTGCTGTTAATAGGGCAAAGTATCCATGGGGCAACTATGACTCAGCTGCTGTTCGCAGGTGCTACGAAGAGCGACGTATCCCTGTGAAAAAGCCCCACTGTATCACCGAAAAGCAATGGGGATTTGTGAGAGAAATGGTTGCGTTCGAATCTATTGGCCGACCGAGCTTGGACCACGTACTCGAGAAGCTGGCAAGTGCGAAGAGCGATCTTTCTCAGAGCGAATTGTCAACAGAATTGGATCAAAATACTGGCTGAAAATGTGAAATCAACGAGCGATCAGGAAGAAAGCAGCTTCAGTTCCGAGGGCCCAAAAAACAGCGGCTGATCGTGGGTGGAAATCGGTTGATTGCGAAACCTTGAATATGGGTCTAACGAGTTTACTACTATATGTCTTGATGTGCTGGGTATTGATAGACGTATTTCGTTTTTGAAAGTGTGAGTTGTAAATTTCGACAAAAAAACGGACTGGTTATTTTTAGTAAATTGCATGCAGTTGCATCCTGCCGCGATCCTAACGAAGAGGCAACTCATATTGGAACGAGTTTAGATGATAGACACCCGTGTTCGGAAGTTTTTGGAGCGGATCGTAACAGCAGCATGCGCTGCATTCCTGATTAGTGCGCTGTTCATGGGTATGCACTTATGCTTATGGTCGTGATACTGCTACCTAGGTATAGTGCCATTAACATCTTTCGCTGCACAGCTTTCGAAGAGCAGGATCAACTGCGTCATATTCAGTATCTACGAGTCGATGGACTACCGCATCAACCCGTTCAACGTACGGATCAATTAGTCGATTTGCTGGACATGCTAACTCACTTGATTGCGATGTTTTCAGTGCGTTTGTACCTGGGTGTGCAACCCGGCAACGAGAATTGCCCACGTGGAATGTATCGGCCGACTGGGGCAGGCATTTCAGTTGGTGAGTGCGAGTTTTGCCCGCGTGGTGTGTACGGAGACAGCCCCGGTTTGGAATCAAAGTCTTGCACTGCAAAGTGTCCGAAAGGGACGTACAATGACAAACTCGGAGCCAAGAACATCTTAGATTGCAAGCCATGTCCTGCTGGCGTGTACGGATCGACCATAGGCCTCACGACTAGTCAGTGCTCGGGGCCCTGTCCAAACGGCAAGTACTCGATGAGTGAAGGTGCCCAGTCGATTAGTGACTGTATGGATTGCCCACCACTTTACCGTGGCCCACAGGGCTATCGTGGCAATGATGTCACTATGGAGAACGGCGGAGGCTACCCATGTAATCGCTATCAGTATGGCAAGACCATTTTCAACGGCCGAGACGCAAACAACGATGCGTGGTGGTACGGATACCTATCCGAAGATCGGAGACCCACGAACAACCAGGTTGTTGACAATACTACTCCAGGGTGAGAACGAATTCCTCAAATGAACCACTTGCGAAGGAGAAATAATGCTGCATTTATTTTGGAATAGGAAGCCAAACACGGATATTTTCTTTCTACGTCTTCGTATTAATAGCACTAAGTTACTGGAAGTACTAGTAGTGCTAGCTGACGTGAACCACACAGCGAGATTGCTTGTTGTATTTGAGTGCTTCCGTTAGCTGACTTTTTTCCACCGGGGGTGTGCGTTCTCCCATGCTTTTGAGTACATTCTCCATAGCTTGTACGAGGCTGTTTGTTTCCCCATATAATTCCACCGTCTGTCCATCTTGTTGAGCTTCAGATACTTCCATACTTCATCAGGAGATATTTTCTTTTGAAGGAGTTTCTGTCCGATGTCGTCGTTGTAAATGAAGATCGATTGGAGCCTCACAAAGTTCTTGCGCTCCATCCCCTTTAGCTTGGTAGCGATATTCGCCACTATTCCCCTCTCTTCGTGGCTAAACTCCAATAGATCCTGGGAGTACGGAGAGTTTGTGCAGCTCTAGGCCCCCCTTCTGCAGCATGAGTAGATGGTACGGCTGAGACAATATTGAGGGCGAGCACACTCAGCATCACGATGAAGCAAGAGCACATGACTTGAGCTCTCATAATCGCTTTGGTTACCTGCTATCTGGATCGAAATGATTAACAAGATAGGTACTGATCAATGATAAGGATCATGCCTTAACCGCAACGATTTGACTGGACGTTGAGTGCACTCTTTCAATCACTGAAACGAGCTCCCGATTTGACGACACGCGCTGACGGTATGCAAGCTTTCATATTCAAAAAATGGATGCTTGAAAACGTTAATACACGATATGTGTGGGCTTGGCTGAAGCGTCCTCTAAAACCTAACACCTTGAGTTCGTCGAAGAATGACTATAAATTCGAGACTTGGAAGGCATACACCCTTTATTTTGCTAAAAGAAAAGGTGGGAAGCTTTTAGTGGAGAAAGTGTCAGCACAAATCGCCAACGAACGTCCTGTTGATGCTCTGACCACCGTTGCCAAATTTCACTGACCAGGCTACAGACAACGGTGTAGTCCTTCTGGCGTGGGTTCTTTCATAATATGTCATGAGCCAAATGTACGACAAGGAAATGAAAAAAAGAAAAATCAATGGGGGACCATCGGTCATGATACAGGGAATTTTTTTTTTCGCACCAAATACTACACCTTTGCCAGGCCAAGATGGTGCTACTCCACTTCAAACCGGATTTTTTTAAAAAAAATGAAAACAAAAATTTGATTACGAAAAAGTAGCACTAAAAAGGAAATTCAAAGTGGCGAAAACGCAGAGCAAAGTGGTCCCCTCAGGCTGAGCTGCAGCTAGGTGCCGTACTGCATGTCTTTCATGCGCTCCGCGGCAGCAACGGAATGCTGGCAATGCAGTGTCAACCTGTTAGCAAGGTGCGTGTCGATACATCCGATGCGGCGTCTCGCCGCGCGTTCCAGTTTCTCCATCCGAGCAGCCGCAACCGTCCCGCGAGGATGCTCCACAACCAGCCCCTTACGGGGCAAGGCAAGGTCGGCCTTGATCTTGGCCTTAAAAGCACTAAAACACCCTGTAGCACCGAGTTCAAAAGTCAGTTAGTATGCCATTAAAAAAATAT